TTGGTCAAATAATGAATACATGCATGCATAAATATTAAGCTGGAGGTGATCCAAGATATCCAGATTTCCTTATAGACAGAGGCGTGGGAGTGGCACTTGGTTAAGAAATTAGGTGTGCTTATGGATACTGTCATAAAAAAATTACCCTTGAAGCAGTGAAAGTAGAGAAGTTCACAGAGATAAGAGATTGGAGGGTGGGGGTTGTAGATAGAAGACTGAGGATTGCCCTTGGAAATCCCTTTAGTTAGAGAATGTATATTAATTGGGATGCTTTGGATCATAAATGGTAGAAAATCCAACCTACACTGATTTAACTCATGTAAGTGAAAAGCTTGGGACCAGTGCTGTCCTTAGCCATGGCAGAATCCATTAGATCTTCCTTCTGTATTACACAGCTTGAGCCTCAGGCTCTTCAGGGTAGCTGCAAGCAGCTCTAGTACCTTCATTTTCTTAACTTCAAAACCAGGGAGCAAGAGGAAAAGTCACTTTCCCAAAGCATTATTGTACCTCACTGGCTTTCATTGGATCTCGTGCTCATTCCTAAGCCAAATCAAACTCCAGAGAGTATCAAACATGAAAATCTGGGAAGTATGGCAAGTTCTCAGCCTTACTAGTCTATTTACTGGAAAACCAGTCTTTTAGATTCTGCTGTTGCTGGAAGATAGCCATAGTTGGGTCAGTGCCTGCTGCAAGTGCAAGCTCTTTGTATCTCAGGTACATTGTGCCTCCTCCTGCCCTCCCAGTGCTCACCTGAGTCTGACCCACTTTCTTTCTTGTTCTTGTTCCAGGCCCCCAAATGTTGGCCTGACCATTGGTTTCCTAATTCTAGGCCATTTTCTGGAGCTTTCAGTCCCCACCTTTATCTTTACTCTCCCAAGAATTTGAGGTATCCTATTCTCTCTACCCAAGGAAAAAAGATTAGGATTTGGAAGCCAGCCTGCCCAGGGTTCACAGGTTCAGATCCTGGATGCAGACTTGTGCACCACTTCTCAAGCCATGCTGTAGCAGATGTCCCACATATAAAGTAGAGTAAGATGGGCATGGATGTTAGTTCAGGGCCAGTCTTCCTCGGCAAAAAGAGGAGGATTGGTGGCGGATGTTAGCTCAGGGCTAATCTTCAAAAAAAAAAAAAAAAAAGAAAGAAAAGAATAGAATAGGATTTGTATGACAGGAGGGAAATGTCCATGTGTTAAACAGTGTATACAGTGACACAAAAGCTATCAACATTTCTATATTTGTTTTTGTAATAATTCAAGTCTAGAATTTTTTTCTTACATCCCTCCTCACCCCAGTCAATAAATGCTTCTAATTATATAACTTTTGGGAGTTTAAGAAGATCCTCCCATAAACCCTAGTTAAATTATTCTTTGAGAAGAGATGGGCACTTTCTGAGGAATATTCATAAAGTATAATGATGCAAATTTTGCCATTCCAGTACTAGTCTTTTTTAGGCAAAACTTCAGAAACTAATTTAGACAGTACAATATCAGTATTTTGAAGTAGTTCCTGCATAGTAGAAATATCTAGTAAGATCCAAATTCTGTATGTATTAAATTACTTCTACAAAGAAGATTTTATCATATGCTTACAAATTTCTTTGTATAAATGAAAGCTGCTGTAGAGTGAGAAAGGTAATCTCATTCATCTCTATGCTCCCGACAAAATGTTGTCAAACGCATCCTTAACGAGACTTCTAGGGAGTCAGCCCTTTCTTTTGATAGTCTTTTCTTTGATAGATAATTACATTTGCTTCCATAAAGTTGTCCTTTATGTCTGTCTTAGTTATTTTGCTTTAATTTTTACCATTTGCTTCAAAGTGATGTTTTAGGGATGATTAGAAATCAACACATCAGAAGGGGTACTTGGTAAGGTAGGAAGAGATTACAAATAAGGAAAGGCAGAAAGCTGGAAACCACCCTGTGGTGTTGGATTAGAACCAGAAGCATCAGTATGAATTCATGATTTTTAATGTACCATAGAATACTAATTAATAGATGTAGAAGAACGTGAGAAATAGGAAATCAGCATTATCACACACCACACTAATAATCGTTGTAGGCAACAACCATTGATGGATGCTAACATTAGTGGGTAAAAGTTTGATGTACAGAGGATACTTGCATGGTCTCCAAATATCTCCCCACAAGATATTTACAAACGGAAAAATAACTTTACAGTGGTGAAACCTGGCAGACATAACTTTAGCCGTGCCATCAGAGTTAATATTGCCGATAATAAAACATGCATATCTCTTACTCTGATATAATGCATTGAGAAGGGCATCACTTCTCTGGTACTCTTGCCAAAAATGCATAACCTCATTCTAATGAGAAAACATCAGATAAACCCAAATTTAGAGACATGCTGCAAAATAATTGACCTGGACTATTCGAGAGTATGAGGGTCATGAAAGACAAAGCTGGAGGGTCTGTCACAGATTATAGAAGACTAAGGAGACTTGATAACTAAATTCAGTGGGGATTCTAGGTTGGCTCCTCGACCAGAAAAAGAACCTCAGTGGAGAAAATGACAAATAAGATCAGTAGATTACTTAATAGTATTATATCAATGTGAATTTCCTGATTTCAATATTTGTACTATGGTTACATAGCTGAAGGGTATATGAGAACTCTGTATATTTTTGCAACTTTTAGGTAGGTCTAGTGTTATTTCAAAATAAAAAGGTTTTTGTGTGACTTTTTAGAGGAAGGGGACTTGGGATGGCTTCTAAGGTCTCTTCTATCCAGCCTTATTATTCTGTGACATAGTGATGCAAAATGAAGAATGGCAAAGACTTAAGCACTTTTTTAGCTATCTAGAAATATATTGAGACAGCTGAAAATAGGATCAGATTCTAAATTGTTGATTCAGTTCAGTGAGATATGTCCTGAATAGCTACTATTGTGCTCAGTACTATACGGAAGAAGATGGTCCTTGCCTCCAGGATGCTCACAGTCTGTTGGAGCTTGAAGATGATGTGGTCTTTCCTTTCAATCACTTAGATTACTAAGGTCTCTCTTCTTTGATGTTTTAAAATAATGGAGTTGGGGGCTGGCCCCGTGGCCAAGTGGTTAAGTTCGCGCGCTCCGCTGCAGGCGGCCCAGTGTTTCGTTGGTTCGAATCCTGGGCACGGACATGGCACTGCTCATCAAACCACGCTGAGGCAGCGTCCCACATGCCACAACTAGAAAGGACCCACAACGAAGAAGACACAACTATGTACCGGGGGGCTTTGGGGAGAAAAAGGAAAAAAAAAAAATTCCAAAAAAAAAAAATAAAATAATGGAGTTGGGTAGAATGATAGAGAAATTGATAAATCTTGTAAATATATCCAAGAAAGTAAGAGCCCCTAAAGAGAGCCTCAAGATTTTTCAATCTGGGTGCCTGACAAGATAATGGTAAACATTAAATAAGATAAGCAACCTAGGAGGCCTTTGGTATTAAACACTGTGTATTAGTGACCAATAGGATGTTCATATTAAAATTACCACCAGATAATTGAGTATTTTGTTATAGGGTAGTATGAAGATGCATGTATTTGAGATTAAAGGGTGATGCAATCCTGACATTCCCTTAATGCTAATTTGCTGGATGATTGTACTGGGTTAATCCTATACTCTTATAATCCTATTACGGCAAATTTCTGAATAATGAATTGGCATGTTTCATTTAGCAGATGTTTAGTGTTGAGAAGTAAATATTTCAGAAAATGTAATGCAGTTAAGTCAGGAAGTTATGACTTAAGTTCTAAACTCCATTAATAAAGATGATTTTTGATTCTTGGGTATTTGGGGTCTGTTTCTATTCTTCTATTTTCTGTTTATTTTTTTTTTTTTTAGTCTAAGTGAAGTGTAGCCTTGAATCAAGAAAATTGTGTGAATGAAATGGAAGTCTTAGTGCTACAATATATTTGATGAAAAAATTTAAGAAACTGATTTTCACCATCAAAATTTTTAACAAAAGTCAGCCCAAACCCTTTTGGGGGTGTGATGTCACTGTGGAAGATTAGAAGTAATGCATCTTATTTCTGCAGTAGGAATATACAACATATATGAAGTTTTCAAGTCTTCACCAAGTTGAAAAGTCAATGTGGGTACTATACTTTGAAACATGTATACTGTGGGCCTAAGGTGTTTCTTAATCTTTCATCTCTTTTAAGGGTCAAATATCATTAGAAAAATAAGCCATGGGCATTGCAAACGTGGTCTGGTGAAATTCAATATTCACAATGACAATTCGGAATATGAGGTCCTTAGGGGAAAATTAAGCCACCACTCTAACTTTGCATCCAAATATCTTAAAGTGTGCCATTGGTTTTATGAAAAGGTTTTGATCTGCACTTCTAGTTTAAGTTCAAAAGAAAACCTACATTTTAAAGTGTATTCCTTTCATGAGTATATTTACTTTGAACTATAGCATATAGTTTTTCTCATAAATCTAAGCTGCCACTATCTGTTTTTAAGACTTTGTAAACTTCAAGTGGTTATGATGTGTGAAGTTTGGATTAAACTAAAATTTTTAGAAAACACATGTTATATATTTTGATTGTTTTGAATTTTAACATGAGCCAGTCAAAAACTTGAGCGTGTAGCAAAGTAATATACTATACTCTCTTACTGTAAGAAATCACAGAAAATTGCCCTTTCCCGTCATGTTAACAATAGACAAATGAAGCAGCTGTTCTTATTCTTAATGTAGTTGTTTGAAAAACTTGCACAATTTAATGAAAATGTCTCTACTCATAAAACTTAAAATGCTCACACATGGAAAGTCATAATGTTTTGGCAAATATTGCTTTGTTAGGAATGTGAATGAGGTATACCTGCTTCATATCTAGAATTCTATAGAAATGGCATAAAACTGTGGGGAAAAGCCAACTGAAAAAGACTCTGACAAAGGGTAAACTAATGCTCTTAAAAAGTATAGATAGTTCTTGTCTAAATATAGTTTTTTGACAAGGAGGAGTTATGTACCTCTCTCCATTTCTTTTTTTTCCTCAGGCATAATTCTTGGGTCATCATTTCTACTCAGCATAAATGATTTTCTCCTTAAAACAAGTCTCAAAGAAAGAAGTCGAATTCTCCTAGGACCATGTTGTGCTACTGCCAATCTGGAAGCTAAATGGTGTAAACACAGTGGCAATCCAGGCCCAGAACAGTCCATACCAAAAATATCCATCGATTTAAGAGGAGGTCTGCTACAGGTCTGTGGGGATTGGCTGCATTTTTCCCATAAGTTTTTAACTCGCCTTTGTTCATTTTTTGAACTGTTTCACTAAATTTTAAATTATGATGTGGTAAGAAAGGATATTGTCAGATTGCTGTCTTATTAAACTGTTTTTAACAGCTTTATTGAAATGCAATTCATATACCATAAAATTCACTTAAAGTATATGATTCAATGATTTTTCAGTTTTTACAGAATTATGTGATCGTCACTATAATCCATTTTAGAACATTTTTCACACACACACACCCCCCTACAGAACCCTGTACCCATTCGCATTTGCTCCCCATTATCCTTTAGTCTCCTCTCCAGTCTATTTTCTGTCTCTACGTAGTTGACTGTTCTGGATATTTCATGTAAATGGAATCATACAATAAGTCCTCTTTTGTGACTGGCTTCTTTCACTTAGCATAGTGTTTTCAAGGTTCGTCCATGTTTTAGCAGGTGCCAGTACTTCATTCTTTTTTATGGCTAAATATTCCATTGTATGGATATACCACATTTTATTTATCCATTCATCAATTGATGGACATTTTTGTTCTTTCCACTTTGGGCTATTATGAATAATACTGCCATGAATATTTGTGTACGAGTTTTTTATGTGGACCTGTGTTTTCATTCCTCTTGGATATATGACTAGGAGTGGAATTGCTGGGTCATTAAACCTTTTCTAATGTATAGACTTTTCTAGTTACAAAGCAGTCAGTCTGTCTCAAGCACAGTGTCATCAGTAATGTATAAGAACAATTTCCTAATGGCAGATTCCTTAGATATTGTGATGTTTGAAGACACACTTGACATATGATCACATTGCAACCTTTTATGCATTTGATTTACACCCAAGTATGGAATGTGTGAGAGTATCCAACTTATTTCTTGATAATTTTCTATTTGGATAGATGTGACTGTATTCTTTATATGATTTAATGTCCCCCAAATTTGACATGAACCCAAAAAACTTGAGAAATTCACAGTTGTAGAAAATGGAAACAACTAATTTTTTAATAATGGATACATGTTATATATAAGTTTCTTCTTTTCATCTAAAAGTTGTGTTGCGTCAAGTTTTTTTACCAATTTTCTTACTGACACAGAGCTAGATGTGGGGGTATCCTAATAATTTATTGCTTTGTATTGCTTTGGAGATTTTTGGCATCTATCAGAAATCTTCATACATTTAACAAGAAGCATATGGTATCGTGTTGTTTTATCAAGAATATTAGTCATATTATCATTTTTCCAATGCAGCAAAGTAATGCTACATTAAAAACAACAGTAAGAGAAAAAACAAAGTATATCATCTCTATATTATTCAGTCACTGACTGTCTCTTGACAATTTAAAGGCTGGAGCAGTGTTCCATTCCCCAGCTTGACTTTTCACCCATCTCTATTTTTTCAGGATCCAATAAAAATAAGATTAATGAGAATAAAAGTAGATTTAGTACCATATCTCTTACCTTCATTTCTGAGATGCCTTAATTCCAGAGAGTAGGATCTAAGCTTAGGGTTTAAAACTTACCCACAAAGTATAGAGTTATTTTTTTCTGCCTCCATATATTCCTTTTTTTCTTTTCTGTTTCTCTTAGACGTAAAGATTGTATTGCCTTTATCCAATATATTCAGAGAAATTTAGCATTACTGAAATTTTGAGTCTTCTGACATTAATCATTAATACCCACCGGTCATACTTCTGTTAGAGACTAACATTCTTCCCATGCAGAACTTTTTCTCTGTTAGAGGAAACACCAAGGCCTTTTAGTGAAACTCTGTTGTAGCTACTGTACAATTGATTCTCAAGGGCTGTGGAAAACTGTGTGCTGGCACATTCTCACTAAACACAGAAGTTGAGAGCCTTCTAAATTCATGTTCATTGAGCATCTTCCCTCTCTTTCTCTCTGAAGAGTAAAAGTGCAAAGAAAGGAACCATGTAATCAAGACATGTTTATTTAATCCCATGACAAAATGTAGGAAGCTATTCCACAAGGTGATTATTGTTATTTTATAAATATTTTGGTCTGGAGGATCTTCATTGCCTTCTCTCAGACCATAATAGGTATTCTTTTCCCTCTTACCTAAGTTAATTCATAAACATTACTTCACATCAACATAATTTCATCACTGTTCAGCTTTTAAAATTGACTGTTATTCACACAGTCTATGATGTAATTGATTTTTTTATTTTTATATATTTACTCAAGTAATAGAATTTTATCCCACAGGTCGATTACTTCTTAGAAATTATAATTTAGTTATTGTCAGTAATTAAACTGAATGTAATTACAGTCTTGCAGTAATTCAAATATGATTGTACCTAATTATCCTCATGAAATATTTGTATTTAAAAGCCACTAAAATTTTTCATATGATTTTAAAGGTTTTCTGGGGTCAAGAACATTTGAATTGTTTAGTTCTTCTACATGAATTACTCAGTGGATACCTTAATGAAGAGCAAAACTTTGAAGTACAAACTTGTGAAGCAGTGCCACAAATGCCATCTCCTATGGAAAAGACTCTGACGTTTAAAAGTGAGCAAAGCTCAGATGACCTACGGACAGGTCTATTTCAGTATATACAAGATGCTGGTGAGTAGCAACAGCTTCAGTATGAGTGTGTGTGTGCATGTGTGTTTGTTTTAACTGCACAGTCATTAAATGGTAACACATTAAGATCACTTGAAAAGTACATTAATACCTGCAGTACAGAAATAGTTCATTGTCAGAGGCTCCAAGACGCTGGTGTAGGAAGACCCCAAACTCACCTCCTCTCAGAACACACTGGATCTACACCTAGGGATAGAGCACTTCCTCCTGAAGAAGAGCTGAGGGATGGTTAAAATGATTCTGCACATAGAGAGACCACATAAAAATGGGTAGGAGACACAGAGACATGGTATTGAAGGCACCCACCCCCAATGCTGATGACCTGCTGTAGGGAGGGATAACACTGAGGGGCTGTGCACAAGCTTGCCTGCTCTGGGGCACAGTGAAAAACCTGTGATTTAAAGGGCACCTAGACTCTACAGGCAGGAAATCCATTTACTAACCCTAGAATATTAGCTGAATGAGCAGGTAACTACTAGCACTCTCTCTGGAGTGAAGTGCTGGTGGGCGCCGTTCTTTGCATCCCCCCTCCACCTTGAGAGCAAGGGTGGGAGCATGGTCCAGATACTGCCAGCCTACTAAGGCTGCCCCAGCACACCCCCAGGCACAGACCCCAGCCATTGCCCAGTCCAGCTCCAGCCCCTGCGCTGGGGCACCCCCAGCCACCCAGGGGCCTGGGAATCTCCTGCCAGTGCCCCACTCCAGCTGCACTGCTGGGACATCCCCAGGCATCAAGCAGCCTGGGACTCCCTGATTGGGGCCCCACTCCAGCTAAAGCTGTTCTGCCAAAGCCACCCATAACATGCAGTCTACACAGGGGATCCTCCCACACAAGGCCACTCCTTCAAGAGTGGGAGAGTTAGCTGTTTTGCCTAATTCATAGAAACAAACACAGAAAGTCCAACAAAATGAAAAGATCGAAGAATATGTTCCAAACAAAAGAACAAGATAAAGCTCCAGAAAACAAAAACCATAGTGAAATGGAGATAAGTAATTTACCTGACAAAGAGTTCAAAGTAATGATCATAAAAATGCTCAGCAAACTCGGGAGAAGAATGGAGGAACACAGTGAGAACTTCAACAAAGAATTAGAAAATATAAGAAAGAACCAATCAGAGCTGAAAAATACAATAACTGAAATGAAAACTATGCTAAAAGGAATGAATAACAGATGTTAGATGATAAGGAAGAATAGACAAAATAGTGGAAATCACCCAGTCAGAACAGCAAAAAGAAAAAAGAATTTTAGAAAATGAGGACGGTTTAAGGGAACTCTGAGACAGCATCAAACGCACTAACATTAGCACTGTATGAGTCCCAAAGGAGAAGCGAGAGAAAGGGGCGGGAAACTTATTTGAAGGAATAATGCCTGAAAACTTCCCTAACTTGAGGAAGGAAACAAACATCCAGGTCCAGGAAGCACAGAGTGTCCCAAACAAGATGAACTTGAAGAGATTCACACCAAGATATAATTAAAATGGCAAAAGTTAAAAATAAAGACAGAATCTTAAAGGGAGCAAGAGAAAAACAAGTCATATACAAAGGAACCCATAGGCCTACCAGCTGATTTTTCAGTGGAAACTTTGTAGGCCGTAAGATAGTGGCATGATATGTTTAAAGTGCTGAAAGGAAAAAATTTACAACCAAGAATACTCTACTCGTCAAGGTTATCATTCAGAATTTAAGGAGAGATTGAGTTTCCCAGACAAGTAAAAACTAAAGAAATTCATCACTAAACCGGCCTTAAAAGAAATGTTAAAGGGTCTTCTTTAAGTGGGAAAGAAAAGGCCATAACTAGGAATAAGAAAATATGTGAAAGAAAAAATATCACTGGTAAAAGCAAATATTAAGTAAAGGCAATAGATCGCCACTAAAAAGCCAATATGAACGTTGAAAGACAAAGCTAGTAAAATTAACTATAACTACAATAAGTGGTTAAAGGATATACAAAATAAAAAGATGTAAAATATGAATCAAAAACATAAAATGTGGGAGGGAGGAGTAAAAGTGTAGTGGTTTTAGAATGCCTTTGAACTTAAGCAACTATCACCTTAAAATAGACTGCTATATATATATATAGGTTGATATATGTGAACCTCATGGTAACCCTAAACCAAAAACCCACAATAGATACACAAAAAATAAAGAGAAAGGAACCCAAATATAACACTAAAGAAAACCACCAAACCACAAGGGAAGAGACCGAGAAAAGAAGAAAGGAATAGAGAAGAACTACAAAAAAAAAAACAGAAAACAACTGACAAAATGGCAATAAATATATACCTATAAATAATTATTTAAAATGTAAATGGACTAGATGCTTCAAACAAAAGACATGAGGTTACTGAATGGATTAAAAAAACAAGACCCATCTATATGCTGCCTATGAGAGACTCACTTCAAATCTAAAGACACACAGAGACTGAAAGTGAAAGGATGGAAAAATATATTCCATGCAAATGGAAACAAAAAGAAAGCTGGGTAGCGATACTCAAATCAGGCAAAATAGACTTGAAAACAAAGATTGTAACAAAAGACAAAGAAGGACATTACATAATGATAAAGGGATAATCCAAAAAAGGAATATAGCATTCATAAATATGTATGCAGCTAACATAGGAGCACCCAAATATATAAAGCAAATATCAACAGACATAAAAGGAGAAATTGACAGTAATACAATAAGTATACGCAACTTACATCAATGAAGAGATCATCTAGACAGAAAATCCGTAGGGAAACAATGGCCTTATATGACACATTAGAGCAAATGGACTTAATAGAGATATATACAGAAAATTCCATTCAAAAACTGAAGAATACATATTCTTTTCAAGTACACATGGAACATTCTTCAGGATGGATCACATGAGGTCATGAAACAAGTCTCAATAAATTTAAGAAGATTGAAATCATATTAAGCAGCTTTTTCAACCACAGAGGTACGAAACTAGAATTCAACTATAAGAAGACAGCTGGATAAGTCACAAATATGTGGAGACTAAACAACATGCTACTGAACAACTATTGGGGTTAACGAAGAAATCAAAGGAGAAATCAAAAAAATACCTGGAGATAAATGAAAATATGACATGCCAAAATCTATGGGCTGCAGCTAAAGTGGTGCTATAAGGGAAGTACATAGCAATACAGGCCTACCTTAAGAAATAAGAAAAATCTCAAATAAACAATCTAACGTTGCACAAAAAAGAATAAACAAAGCCCAAAGTCAGTAGAAAGAAGGAAATAATAAAAATCAGAGTAGAAATAAATGAAATAGAGACTAAAAAGACAATAGAAACTAAAAGCTTGTTCTTTGAAAAGATGAACAAAATTGACAACCTTTATCTAGATTCACTAAGAAAAAAAGAGTGGAGGCTCAAATAAATAAAATCAGAAACAAAAGAGGAGAAATTACAACAGATACCATAGAAATACAAAAGATTATAAGAGACTACTATGAAAAGCTGTACACCAACAAATTAGATAACCTAGAATAAAATGGATAAATTCTTATAATCATACAACCTTCCAAAACTAGATCAAGAAGAAATAGAGAATCTGAATAGACCAATCACTGTTAAGGAGATTGAAATGGTAATCAAACACCTCCCAAAAAACAAAAGTACAGGACCAGATGACTTCTCTGATGAATTCTGCCAAACATTCAAAGAAGATCTAATACCTATCCTCTCAAACTCTTCCAAAAAATTGAAGAGGAGAGGATGCCTTCTAACTCATAAAGCCAACATTAACTATACGCAAACCAGACAAGGACAACACACAAAAAGAAAATTACAGGCCAATATCACTGATAAAATACAGCAAAAATCTTTAACAAAATACTAGCAAACTGAATACAACAATACATTAAAAGGGTCATGCACCATGATCAAGTGGAATTTATCCCAGTGATGCAGAGATGGTTCAACATCTGCAAACCAATCAATATCATATGCCACATTAACAAAATGAAATACCAAAATTGTATGATCATCTCAATAGATGCAGAGAAAGCATTTGGCAAGATTCAACAGTCATTTATGATCAAAAACTCTGAATAAAATGGGTATAGAAGGAAAGTACCTCAACATAATAAAGGCCACTTATGACAGACCCACAGCCAACGTCGTACTCAATGGTGCAAAACTGAAAGCTAACCCTCTAAGAACAGGAACAAAACAAGGATGCCCACTCTAACCACTCTGATTCAACATAGTATTGGAAGTCCTAGCCAGAGCAGTTAGACAGAAAAAGAAATAAAAGGCATCCAGAGTGTAAAAGAAAAGGTAAAGCTGTCACCATTTGCAGATGACGTGATTTTATATGTAGAAAACCCTAGAGAATCCACCAAAGAACTATTGGGAATAATAAACGAATACAGTAAAGTTGCAGGGTTCAAAATCAACACACAAAAATCAGTTGCGTTTCTGGGCAGTAACCACAAACTAGCAGAAAGAGAAATTAAGAAAACAATCCCATTTACAGTTGCAACAAAAAGAATAAAAAACCTAGGAATAAATTTAACCAAGGAAGTGAAAGATCTGTACACTGAAAACTATAAGGTATTATTGAAAGAGATCAAGGAAGACTCAAAGAAAAGGGAAGACATTCCATGCTCATGGATTGGAAGAATTAACATAGTTAAAAATGTCCATATTACCTAAAGCAATGTACAGTTTCAATGCAATCCCTATCAAAATCCCAATGACATTTTTCACAGAAATAGAACAAAGAGTTCTAAGATTTGTATGGACAAAAGACCCTGAATAGCCAAAGCAGTTCTGAGAAAACAAAACGAAGCTGGGGCTATCACACTCCCTGATTTCAAAATACACTACAAAGTCATAGTAATCAAAGCAGCATGATATTGGCAGAAAAAACACAGATCAACCAAAAAGAATCAAACACCCAGAAACAAACCCACATATATATATAGATAGCTAATTTTGAAAAAAGGAGGCAAGAACATACGGTGGAGAAAGCAAAGTCTCTTCAATAAATGGTGTTGGGAAAACTGGACAGCCACATGCAAAAGAATGAAATTAGACTACTATGTTACACCATACACAAAAATTAACTCAAAATGGATTAAAGACTTGAATGTAAGACCTGAAACCATAAAACTCTTAGAAGAAAACACAGGCAGTATGCCCTTTCATATCAGTCTTAGCAATATCTTTTTGAGTATGACTCCTCAGGCAAAGGAAACAAAAGCAAAAATAAACAAATCAGACTACATCAAACTAAAAAGCTTCTGCACAGCAAAGGAAACCATCAACAAAACAAAAAGACAAGCTACCAATTATGAGCAGATATTTGCAAATCATACATACAATAAGGGATTAATATCTAAAATATATAAGAACTCATATAACTTAACAACCAAAAGAATGAGCAGAGGATCTGAATAGACATTCTTCCAAAGAAGATATCCAGATCGCCAACAGGCACATGAAAAGATGTTCAACACACTATTTATTAGGGAAATTCAAGGCAAAACCACAGTGAGATTATCACCTCATTCCTGGCAGAATGGCTGTTAACTACAAATACAAGAAATAACAAGTGTTGGGTCGGATGTGGGAAAAAGGGAACCCTCAGACACTGCTGGTGAGAATGTAAATTGGTGCACCCACTATGGAAAACAGTATGGAGATTCTTCAGAAAATTAAGAATAGAACTACCTTATGATCCAGCTATTCCACTGCTGGGTATTTATCCAAAGAATATGAAAACACTAATTTGAAAAGAGATATGCACTCCTATGTTCAATGTGGCATTATTTCCAATGGCCAACACATGGAAACAACCTAAGTGCCCATTGATGGATGAATGGATAAAGAAGATATGGTTTATGTACATAATGGAATACTACTCAGCCATGAAAAGATGAAACTTTACCATTTGCAACAACATAGACGGACCTTGAGGGTATTATGCTAAGTTAAATAAGTCAGACAGAGAAAGATAAATACCATATGCGTCAACTCATATGTAGACGATAACAACAAACAAACACATAGATACAGAGAACAGACTGGTTACCCAAGGGGAATGGGGATAGGAGGATGACAAAATGAGTTAAGAAGGTCATTTGTACAGTGATGGATGGAAACTAGACTTTTGGTGGTGAATTTGATGTAATGTATATGTAAGTCAAATTATAATGGTGTACACCTGAAATCTATATAATGTTATAAACCAGTGTTACCTCAATTAAAAAAAATAATACATTACCATTCAGTCTCATAAGGGAGAATTCTTAGTTTGTTCTTGTCTCAAACCATATAAAATGATCAACCAGCTTCTTTATATTCTTTTCCTTTTCTTCTTCTTTTTCTCCCCAAAGCTCCCGGTACATAGTTGTGTATTCTAGTTGTGAGTGCCTCTGGGTGTGCTCTGTGGGACGCCACCTCAGCATGGCCTGATGAGTGGTGCCATGTCCGCGCCCAGGATCTGAACCAGAGAAACCCTGAGCCGCCAAAGTGGAGCACACGAACTTAACCACTCGGCCTTGGGTCCAGCCTCATGATCTTTTCTTTTATCCTCCTAATTTTTTCTTGTTGTAATAAAGCAACATGTTCTCCTTCAAAAGCATACAGTTAACGGTATTTTCATTTAACAGAACCTTTGAAAATGCCTGGTGTCTATGAAGTTTTGTTTTACAATGAAACTGAAGATAGCCCAGGGATGATGTTATGGAGATATCCAGAACCAAGAGTGCTCACCCTTGTACGAATAACTCCGGTGCCCTTCAACACCACAGAAGATCCAGATATTAGCACAGCAGACCTTGGTGATATGCTACAGGTATGTAATGACTATTCATTTAAAATAAAAACATTGTGGGAAAGCGCTGATTATATACTGGGAAAAATATTTGGAGCATACTTATTTTTCCCATCAGTAGTATTAGAGAGAAATACGCACATATGTACATATGCGTGCATACATACACACACACAACAGAAATTTTAAAATATGGAAATAACGTAATTCAGATTCATGGTACATGGCAATTTTGAGAGTTCTCAATTCTACTCTTACTCCTGTTGTAGATAGGTTACATGGGCTCTAACTGTAATGGAACAAACAGGTGTCATTCGGTACCTTTTTTTTTTTTTTTGAGTACCTACCACACATTTTTTGAGTGCTCGCACAGCATTTCTAGAAGTGCTCTATGAAATAAAATATCCACAGAAGGCCAGAATGGCCTGAGTTTTCCTTTGATTTCCAGAGCTGAAAATGGTCTGGGGTCTTGAGGTAGGCTGATAGGAGAACCATCTAACCAGTGATCATATTCCATATGATTTTGTGAAAGTTTGTTTCTTTTCATTTCCCTGAGTTTGATGTAAATGTCGTTGGAGGTATTGGTATATTGTCCTTCTACTTGTTAATATTCTATGGATCTGAATTTCTCCTAAAATTTGTTTTGCTCTCAGTCTTCCATCTGTTACTATATCACACAGCTATCCACTCAAAGCCTAGGAGTCATTCCTGATTGCTGTCTTTCCCTAACTCCCCACATCTAATTCATCAACAAGTCTTGTCAGTTCTACCTCCAAAATATCTCCCTATTCCATCTACTTCTCTCTGTTTTTTCTGGTACAACTTGAGTCCAAGCCACCATCTTCTATTCCCTACCACAGTAGCTTCCTAAGTGGTCTCTATGATTCCCTTCTTGACTCCCTGTAATGCATTTTTCAAATAGCAGCTAAAGCGGTCTTCTAAAAATGGAGATGAGGTCACATCACTTTCCTAACTTAAAACCTGACAATGGCTTCCTCTTATACTTAGAAAGAACGAAATTCAAATATCTTGCTGTGGCCTACAAGGACCTATGACCTTGCCCTGCCCACCTCTCTGACTTGATCTCATGCCAGTCTCCCCATTTCTCACTGTACTCTAGCCACACCATCCTCCTTTTTCTCCTTGTGCATACCAGTTCAAAGTCATTTCTCTTGCTCTGCCCCTTATCTTTTTCAGTCAGGTACTAGCTCACACATCATATCCTTGCTCGCTCACTACCACTACTTTATTTTGTATTGCATTACCTTGTTTTACTTTCTTCATAGCTCTTAGCACTATTCAGAATTATGCCATGTGTTTATTTACTACTTGCTTATGGTCTTTGTCTCTCTACTGTTAGAAAATAACCTTCTTCTATGTCTTGATCACTTATCTCCAGCACCTGGTATGTAGAGATGTTCACCAATTTTTTTTTAATTAGTGCTTTATACTTAATAATTTAGAGTAATAATAGAAATCAGAAGAATCCAAGATGCACATTAACATAGGTATAATTATAGTCTTATTTAATTCTTGTTTCAATTTCTTATCATAATATATTTAATCAGATGTTTACCTTCTGGATTGATAACAATAAAATGTGTCATTTTGTCAAGTGAACTAGAGTGTGCAGAACTATCCAATTTGCCAAATGTCAATAGTCTTTTTTTTTTCTTGTGATGAAAACTTTTAAGGTCTACTCTCACGGCAAATCTACTTTGATTCTTAAATTCTCAGAGTTGTTTCCCAACCTATCAAGATCATGTTCATGATTATCTTCTCTACCAATATTCTTGGATTATTTTTGCTAAGTAAAATAACAGTATCTTTGACTCCTTGTCTTATTAGACTTGCCTAAATGCAGAACATCTGTAGTATTTTCAGTCAACATGAAGATACTCATATATCAGTGTTTGAGCATCATGTAAGGGCTTCTTTCTGATTTTGGGGTTCAGACTTATAGGTACATGTTAATACATTTAACATAAGTCTAATAACTAACTACTAATGTCAGTATTATGCTAGATGTATTAAATAGGACATTTAAAATGGTAAGTACATTCACTAGTGACATGTTCTTTATCTTCTCACTGCTGTTGGAGAGGCAGAGAATATAGTGGTTGAGAGAATGAACTATAGCCAGAATGCCTGGGTTCAAATTCTGGCTCTGCCTCTTGCAAACTTTGTCACCTTAAAAATGTAACTTAATCCCTCAGTCTCAGGTTTTTTGTTTTGCTTTTTTTAATCAATAAAATGAGGATATTAATAATGTGATGATTATAGGAATTAATATTTGTAAGACACATAGAACAATGCCTGGCACATAGCAAGTACTACATAAGTATGAGTATACTATCACTCCTATGATGACCATTGTCAAAACTCTTTTCATGAAGAGGAAGCACAGGCTGGACCAGAGAGAGCTGGTGTGTGATGACTCTACAGACCTGCTGGAGTAGTCCAAGAGATCTGGGACAGTCCCTGGGGCCTAGACAGTGGACTTGGCACATAAGCAAAGCACTGCATGAAGGAAGCCTGGCAGGTTTCAACAGCAAAGAGTTGGTGTCAGAGAGGTCCTGCTATGTTTCATATCTTGTTGGAGAAATAGGAGCTAGGTGTGGGCAGAGTTCAAAGGCTGGGATACTGGCCTAACAAGAAAGACAGGGTTGTACCTACTGTGAATTGAAAGGGAGAGCTTGATCCCAGTGGTGAGAAGAAACACCTGGAATCGACAACTGGGATGAAAGAACAGAGCAGGACTGGCAGAAGGTTGCCGTGCTGCTGAACTCCTGGTTCAATCCTTGTTTTCCCCTGACTAGGAGCAGAATTTGTCCCAGGGGTTGAGGTGAGCCCCATCTGTGGAAATAACTCTCTGGGTCACAATCTTAGAACCATACAAACTATTTTGTTTCCTTGGAGCTTGTTGAGAACAGAAGATATGTTGCATGAATCACAGGTTTGATTCAATACAACAGCTGGTTTTTTTTGAGCACTTGCAGTGCCAGACCGTGGGCTTGCTCCTGGGGATTCAGATACAGGTGAGACACTGTCCACTGATGAGAAGCTCTCACTCTAGCAGGGAAGTTTCTCTGGTTGGTTGGGGGTAGAAGAGTCCCCCTAATTTCAGCTTTCAAGGAGAACCTCTCTGTTGTCAGACTCGTTCTCCCGCTAGATGTGATTATCTCTAGGTCTATACCAGAGGCAGAGCTAAAATATTGAACTGCTTATCCTGAATAGCAGGGAGCTTATGAAAAGAAGGCCCTTTATCAACATGGTTTAGTGCGGATAATGTAGACTTTGAAGTCTCAGCTGCTGACTTCTCCCCTCCCCTTTTTATTTTACTGACTCAGTGAACTTAGGCAAACTGATCTCTTGAGCCTTAATGTCCTCAAGTGAACACTGGAGTTAATGTTGTTTACCTTTCAGAGTTGTTGCAAGAATTAGATGAAGTATTATAGCTAAATCAATCAAATGCCTTACACATAGTGCATTCTTAATAAATGTTAATTTCCTCCTCTGTGCTCCACCTACACAAGCTAGTGCCTGGACTGCTAAAAGAGCCTCCTAAATGGAATTCCATTCTTCAATCTCTTCCTTCCAATCTATCCTAATAAATTCTTAAAGGAACTAGTAGATTGTATCACTTCCCTGAGAAAAACCTTCAGTGGTTCTATCACCCTACTAGACTGACCTTGAGGGCCCTGCATAACCTTCCCAACCCCTAACCCAGTTTTGCCTTTCACTCCCTTATACATGATCTATGCTTTAGTTAAACTGGCCTATTCAGCATTCCCCAAGCCAGCCTATGACATCCCACTTCCATACCACTCCCTCTTCAGTTGAATCTCTCTCTTCTCTGCTGAAATCCTATCCACACTTCCAAACAGCTCAAATGCCATCTATTTCATGAAGCCTTTCCCAGACACTGTCTCCAAATATGATATTGCCTTCCTCTGAAGTCCTATAACAGCACTTCATAGCACCACTTTTATGCTATTTCTCACTTTATTCCTCACATTTTATCTATGTGTCCATATCTTGTCTCCCCCTTAGACTCTAGATTTCCAAAGGAAATGATCATATGTAGTTTTTCATTATGTCCCTTACGGTATCTACTGAAGTGGAAATACTCAGTATACTGAATGAATGAATGAATGCATGAATGTCCATGTTCCTATTTTGTATTATTCAAAACTGTTTGTCATTATTTTATGACACTATTGAATGAGTTTTGGTTTTACAAACTGAATTATGTCAGGATGCATTGTGTTATGCTTCAGTAATATTATCTAACATAAATACACCATCTAATGTCATTACGTTACACGGGCTCTTGGTGAGATCATTGAATATTCTGCCAAGCCCACTGCCCCCTAGTCAGAGGCTAGTTCTTAAATACAAAGATAAGTTGATCTCCTTGATTTCAGTCCTAAAAACAGAATTGAGTTTGGATAACTTTTTCCTTCAGGACCATTTGGTTCATAAAAAACTGACCGTATAGAGTTCACTTATACAGAACCCTCAAATTTGTCTGCTTATATATCTTTCCATGATTAGTAATGGGATTTATAAACAGGCTCCCCATATTTTATGGGGTTTATTTTGCAATTGTACTGAAAAATTTGGAAAACGTGTCTATAATATTAAACTAACCATGGCTTCTGAATAAAGACCCTTAAGTTAATGTTCATAGAAATCAAAAGGAGCTTATTTTGTGGTCAGTTTATAATTTTATTATGTTAAATTTTAAGTGTTGGTAGTATATTTAGATGTCAATAAAATTTGGATCTGTAAAGTAGAATAATGCCATTAACCTAGAAGGAATGTTGTGTGCTTTAAATGAGTTTAAATATAAGAAATTTCTGGCACTGTGTTTGGCACATCCCAGATTTTCCCCTCTCCTCATCCTATTGTGTACACTCCCTATGGAGGATTCCATTTTAGAAATAGCTATGTTCCCAGATTATAAAATTTTAATCCATCCTTTGTCGTAGAATTGATAATGGATATTTTAATTCTCA